GCCAGCAGCCAGCGTGAGCGGCCAGCAGCCACTGTGAGCGGCCGTCCAGAATCTGGCTTCTGATCTGCCTTGCTGGGGAAGAGCGCAATGATGGTGCCAGTGAAGCAACGTCCTCCACAACTAGACTGAAGAACAAAAGACAGCAACTTGTCTGTTCCCTTTGCCCCAGTTCCCCAATAAAAATCTTAAAAAAAAAAGACATATTCTAATTAAAATGGCAAAAATTAAGGAAAAAGAAATAAGACTGAGTGGCTCAGTTGGTTAAGAGCGCAAGCTCTGAACAACAGGGTCGCCGGTTCAATTCCCACATGGGCCAGTGAGCTGCACAGGAGCTGAGCTGCCGCTGAGCTACCAACAGGTGGCAGGATGGCTCAGCTGGTGAGAGCACGTGCTCCTAACAACAAGGTTGCTGGTTCAACTCCCACATGGGATGGTGGGCTATGCCCACCCACGACTAAGATTGAACACAGCACCTTGAGCTGAGCAGAGCCGCTACGAGCTGCCAACAAGTGGCAGAGTGACGATTGGACTGGGGAGCTGAGCTGGCTGTGCCCTCCACAACTAAGATTGAAGGACAACAACTTGGCTGTTCCCCTTCCCCAATTTCCCGATACTGTTTCCCTTCCTCAATGAAATCTTAAAAATAATTAAAAAAAAAAAAGAAGAAGAAGAAGACAGCAAGGAGGTAACAAGTCACACACAAGGAAACCCTCATACAGTTATCAGTTGATTTCTCAGAAGGAACTTTACAGGCCAGAAGGGAGTGGCAGGAAAATATTTATAGTGTTAAAAGAAACCTATGACCTAGAATACTATATCTGGCAAGATTATCATTCAGAATTGAAAGAGAGATAAAGAGTTTCCTAGACAATCAAAAACTAAAGGAGTTCACCACCGCTAAACCAGATTTACAAGAAATGATGAAGGGTCTTCTTTTTGCAGGAAAAAAAAAAGCTATATAACCAGAAATAAGAAAATACTGGAAAGAAAAATCTCACTGGTAAAGGCAAATATATAATAAACACAGTGAATCAACCACTTAAAAAGCTAATATGAAGGTTAAAAGAAAAAGTAGCAAAATTAACTAAAANGTGGTAAGAGCTTCTGTGACTACAGAAACCATGTTAGATAAGACTTCATTTTGTTGGGCATTAAGAAGCATTTGGCTGATGGAAAACAAACAGATAACTGCATTCTGCATAGCATCAAATACATGGATCCTACTTTAACTTCAAGAAAATCACACTGGAAAGTCATTATGATTCTTCTGCATACATCTGGAATCAGTGTATATTCCAGAATGTCAAAGACAACACAGCCATTATGAAAAGGAGGACTTAAGTATGAAACCAAAACAATGTGAGGGACCACCAAGTTCACCTTCACAGCATGCGATATTCCCCAGTGCTTTCAGTACACTGACAATACTTCCTCTACCATATGTTTAAAGGGTAAAGATGTAACCGATATAATACCTTACATACACAAAGAACACAATCTTCTGATTATGATTTCCAAAAAGGGAATGATCAGAGATTTTAAAGTTCTTGGAAATAAAAAAAAAAAGAAAGAAAGAAAACATTTAATCAAAAATTAATAAAATCTCATAACAAAATGGAAAAGAGAAAAAAAAAGGGAATGACAATTAGGGGACTGAATTGATTTAGGCAGTCCAAAATCAGAAACATTTCAAGGACGAATTAAAGAAAATGAAGAGGTGAGATGTAATGTACAGAATGATGACTATAGTTAACAATACTGTATTGTGTAGTAGAAAGTTACTAAGAGGGTAGATCTTAAATGTTCTCACCATAACAATCACCACAACATGGTAATTATGTAAGGTAAAGGATGTGTTAACTAACCTTATTGTGATAATCATTTCACAATATATACATGTATCAAATCATCACACTGTACACCTTAAACTTACACCATGTTATATGCCAATTGGTGGGGGAAATTTTCAAAAGAAAAAATGAGGAGCAAATAAAAACCAAGGCCAATATTAAATTCAGATAAAACTAAAATGCAAAAACAGAAATAAGAAATTAAATAAAACAAAACAGATCCAGAGGGTTTTAGTGGAAAATTCTACCAAAAATTCAAAAAACAGACATGATAAGGGGCTGGGGGCAGCCTTACCTTTTCTGCTGTAGGGCCTCGTCCAGGATATCCTGCTTGTCCTGCAGCATCCGATGGAGATACCTCATCTCCTGCTGGTACTGAGCTGTCTTGCTAGCGAAGTCCTCCTGCTGTTCTGTCAGACGGTGAATAGCGTCACCCAGCTTCAGTGCTGACTGCTTCTTGTACCCCTAGAGGAGGNGCTACATAGTTTTAAATCCTGGTGAGTCTTTCTACCCCTGGTAAAATGATAATAAATTACAATTGTTGAACAAGTTCAATAAAATGTAAAAAACTACGATTTTCTATTTCAACTTCCCATCTAATAAAGAGCACGTGTATAACTATAATACATGACCAAGGACCAATGCTAGTGCTTATTTGCTCACCTGAAATAATGCAGACCTTAGCGAGGAGGGGTTTGTAAAAGGATGTGTTCCAGGACCCTATCCTGTCTAGGGTTCTTTATAGCCTGATGTCCCTGGGTTCTTCCAGCACGGCGGGGACAATCAGCCCTCGATAGCTGGTATAACCATCAGAAAGTGCCAGTGAATGATACTGAGAGGCTGTGAGACTCTACCTGAAGAGGTGGCACAGAGTGGAGCAGAACCACGGTCCCTGGCATCCTTCTCGGTGGTGGCAATGGGGCAGGGACCCCACCTTGGTGCTCAAAGGGGGAGGGGGGATATGTGGCCCTAGAAAAATGACCTACCCAGCAGGATCGAGAAGGGCTAGAGGGGGAACAGGTTTTGTAAGTTTACCAGTTCACGAGTACCAGCACCTTGTTTTCTCCCAAACAATCAGAACTACCTGGAGCTAATGCATAGGTATCTCACTGCTACATCGGATGATGGGCTCATGTAGCCAAACTTCTCTAACACACAGGATGAGAAGCCCATCCCACCTGGCTGTGCCCTCTGGGGCTTTCTAGGAGCCCAGAGATGGGCCACCTCATCAGGTCACCTGTTAACCTGAGTAAGGGGTTTCAAAGAACCTGTCTCAGTGGCCATGTGGCCAGAAGACACGTATTAGCTATAGTTTAGTAGGACATTATTAAAATACAGCAAAACATAAAAAATGGATTATATTTCTGAGACAGTTTATTTCTTCCTTTCCCTGAGGAGATAAAACGCTGTAGTGTTAGGTGGGATTTTGCCCTTTCCTGTCCTGGTTCAGGCAAACCTTTCCGACTGAGGGGCTCTAGCCCAGGGTCTCCCAAAGACTCTGGCGGGTGGTAGGCGGGGGCTTCACATCACAGTAGCTAAAGACATAGCCATCCAGCACAGCTTCTTGAGAGCTGCCGTCAAGGCCGGGACCCTCCACAGTTCTGGCGTTGTCCCACAGGCCTGTCCTCTCCAGTGTGGTTTGGAGAAGTGCTCGGATTCTTTGGTTTTCCTTGGTGGTGGACTGCCACACCACTTCAAGCTCGCCTTCCACAGCTCTGAGAGAAACAAACAAAACAAAGGCAGAGTTTAAAATAGCACCACTAAAAAATATTTATAGAGCCCTTATGAATCCTAAAGTAGCAAGAACTCAAATGGAAGAGTGTTTCACATCAGAGAACAGAGCCCACTGTGCTTAGGCTCTGAAGCAAAGACGCCCAGTGTTGAATGAAGTGCCAAGGTCCCCTTGAAGGAGAAGAGAATACTAAGACACAGGCTGAAAACAACTTCTTATCTTTCCTCTCTAAGCTTTGCCTTTTCTTTTATTTTGGCATCAATGCACATATCCTTTGTTTCTCTACAGAATTAACATGCGTAAAAATAAACTACAACAACTGCAGTGGTTGACCTATCCACAGTGGCCTGGCTATGGGCACCCACGTGGCATGGCCCTGTGGGCCTCTCCTGTGGCCCATGCGGGGATCGAACCAGAAACCTTGGTTCGATCTAACCATGCTCTAACCAACTGAGCTAACGGGTCACCCTAAAATCACAGATATAATAACTCATTCAAAGCAGATAAGAATAAAGAAATTCATAGTTAAACACATAACAATGAAACTATAGAATACAAGAGACAGAAGAAATCTTAAAAAGAGGCAAGAGAAAAGATGAGTCATTTATTTTTTTTTAATGACAAAAGACATCTTAACAGCAACAATGAAACAGAGAAGACAATGAAATATGCTGAGAGAAAAAGCCTATCAAGGCAGAATTCTGTACCCAGCAAAAATCATCTTACAAGAATAAGATGAGGACAAAATGCAGATGTTTTCAGCTATACAAAAACTAGGGAAGGTTACTCCCAACAGACTCTCACTAAACAAACTTCTCAAGAATGTACTTTAGGAAAAAGGAAACTAATCTGAGAAATAAGGTAAAAATACAAGAAAGAATATGTTAAAAGATAAACTGAAAAGTATTAAAACCTTGAATTTTTTTTTTTTAAAGCCAAAATTAATTTGAATCTGGCAGCACCCAATCTAGCAGACAGAAAGGAGCTTCAAGGAGCTGTATAAAGTAAAGGGCTTTTATAGGCGGAAGGGAACAGGAACAAGGAAGTTATAGGAGGCAAAAAAATAGTTGATTATTGCAATGTTACTTTTCTTTAGGGGATGGGAGTGGCCTATAAATGCTGAGCAGGTGATTCCTGATTGACTGGTTTAAGGTTCCATTTTTGGGAGAGCTGAAACTGTAAATTAAGTCTTTGTTTGGTGACGTGGGGCTCAGCATAAACACCTCCATTTTGGGCCTATTGTCTTATTTTTAACAATTAGTAAGGAAAGAAATTGGTAAACTGTGGGTAAATCAAAATAAACAACTATATAAAACTAGTAACATTTAATTTGGGGGGGCTAAAAATGATATAAAATAGATCTTTGATTTTTATTTTCATATAACTATATCTAATGACACTAGACAATAGCACAAAAACTGAGAGGGAAATAATTAGATTAAAACATTAGATCTTGCATTTGGGGACAGAAATGTAGAGATGCTGATTATATTCTTTTTTTTTTTTTTTTTTTAAA